ACCCGGTACCCACTCACTTCCTGGGACTGCACCCGGTACCCACTCACTTCCTGGGACTGCACCCGGTACCCACTCACTTCCTGGGACTGCACCCGGTACCCGCTCACTTCCTGGGACTGCACCCGGTACCCGCTCACTTCCTGGGACTGCACCCGGTACCCGCTCACTTCCTGGGACTGCACCCGGTACCCGCTCACTTCCTGGGACTGCACCCGGTACCCGTTCACTTCCTAGGACTGCACCCGGTACCCGCTCAAGGCTGGGTCAACCTGGGAGCCAAGCAACCTGGAAGCCAAGGTCATTTTTGAAAAAAGTCCGGCTCCACTAGGGAGCGAACCCACAACCTTCCGATCCATGGCAAGCGTCTAGCCACTCGGCCGCGGCAACTCCCTTTCTGTATCTGGTGGTCGGTCAAGTGGATGGTGTTGAGATATTTGTAGTCTGGTAGTGAGCTGGCTTGCGTGTGCATGTTCCAGTGATGAGCTGGAGTTACTGTGGGAAGAAACTGACTTCTCACTAATGTTGTGTAACTTGAGGCAAACACCATGCTGTGAGACCATGCAGCCTCCCCTTCCCCCCCCCCCCCCCCCCCCCCCCCCCCCCCCCCCACCCCCATCACTGCATCTGTGTCAGAACAGTCTTGATTGCAACTTCTCTCCACTGATATCACTGTATCTGTGTCAGAACAGTCTTGGTTGCAACTTCTCTCCAGTGATATCAGTGCATCTGTGTCAGAACAGTCTTGGTTGCAACTTCTCTCCAGTGATATCAGTGCATCTGTGTCAGAACAGTCTTGATTGCAACTTCTCTCCAGTGATATCATTGGATCTGTGTCAGAACAGCTTTCTAGGCAAGACGTGGTTAATTAAATGTAATATAAGATGTGTCTGGATGTAGCAGCTTGTACTGTTTGTTGTCTGTTGACAGGACAGCATCCTAGAACACTACAGTGAGCATGGAGACAAGTACTGCAAGGAGTTACAAGAGCTCAATGATGTCAGAGAGGTATGTAGACCTCTTCATTGACTGCTGCTGGTGACCTACCAGTGCTGCCTGTAGGTCCCTGACACACATGAAACCCTTCCCAAGTCCCAATCAATGCAACTTGTTTCTTGACCAATTATGAATAAACATATGCTATATTAATCCTTTGTGCTTAAGTTATTAGTTTAATTATTTTGTTCCAAAATCTTTCTTTTCAGCTCAGTCAAACTTGAATATTTACTGCTTGAAATAGATTGAGCTAAAGTAATTGGGACTGCAAGGGTTAAGGTGCACTAGGCATGGAGTGCTGGCTCTATAATTGTGGACTACTTTTTATAGATTAGTTAGCACTTTGTGGATGATATGATCGGTATGACACCAACCAGAACATTCCATGGTTGCCATGTTGAGCTGGGTTGACCACCAGAACATTCCATGGTTTCCATGTTGAGGCTGGGTTGACCACCAGAATATTTCATGGTTGCCATGCTGAGGCTGGGTTGACCACCAGAACATTTCATAGTTGCCATGTTGAGGCTGGGTTGACCACCAGAACATTCCATGGTTGCCATGTTGAGGCTGGGTTGACCACCAGAACATTTCATGGTTGCCATGTTGGGGCTGGGTTGACCAGGGAGCCACAGTCTAATTGTAATAGCTTTCCCAATAAGGATTTGAACCTCTGATCATAGGATCAGAAAGCCAGTGTATGCTGAATATTGATTTAAGAATCGACATCACAGCATTCCCATAAGTGCTAACCCCATCTTCAGCAGCAGGTGCAGAGATCCAGTTCTGATGGCACCAGTAACTGTCTGTATATTGTTGAGTATTGGCCACATCTCCTGGTCCTTCCTCACAGCAAATTTCTCCTCAGACCATGATGACCTATTTATGCCTCCACACTCCACACCTTATGCATGAGCTCACCGATTATTGGTTCAGAACTAGCCAGTCCATCTGCCTGTTCATTTCCAACACACCTTATTTATGCCTCCACACTTCACACCTTATGCATGAGCTTACTGCTAAGTGGTTAAGAACTAGCCAGTCCATCTGCCTGTTCATTTCCAACACACCTTATTTATGCCTCCACACTTCACACCTTATGCATGAGCTTACTGCTAAGTGGTTAAGAACTAGCCAGTCCATCTGCCTGTTCATTTCCAACATACCTTATTTATGCCACCACACTTCACACCTTATGCATGAGCTTACTGCTAAGTGGTTCAGAACTAGCCAGTCCATCTGCCTGTTCATTTCCAACATACCTTATTTATGCCACCACACTTCACACCTTATGCATGAGCTCACCGCTAAGTGGTTAAGAACTAGCCAGTCCATCTGCCTGTTTTATTCCAACATACCTGCATGACCTATAAAAAAAATATCCATATGGAGCTAACTACCTAGAATCTGAAGCGGTGCTTGCCATTCTGCATGATGCCCAGATCAGACTTGAGCACATGCCATCTACATCGATCCCGGTGGCCGAGTTTATTATTCTTAGGCCTAGTTTACCTGTAATAGTGTGTGCATGTCTGAGTGAGTGCTTTTAACTGCGAACCTGAGCGAATGCTGGCTTTGTTGCTTGTGAGTGGACATTGCTTGCTTGTAGTCATTCAGCTTTCAACTCATAATATTTGGCAGACAACAGATTTATATGTTTTTTGTGGTCCTGACTGCTTCCTTGACCAGACCAATGATTGACACACACAAAACAATTGTGATGGGTTACAGATATGAGCTGTTGTATGATGTCTTCTGCAGGCAGTTCGAACCCCAGAAAGAAGCCATGCGGGCGTGGAACTTCTCATAGAGTACTTTAACCAACTCAACTATGTCGAGAAACGATTCTTCTCCAGCAAGCGACAGCTGCCCTTGTACTTTCATTGGTGAGTTCTGTAGCCCTGTTCCCACAGGTGTGAGATTCTGAACTTGCCATCACTTGTGTTGTGTGCTCCATTGGTGAGTCCTGTAGCCCTGTTCCCACACGTGTGAGGATCTGAACTTGTCGTCACTTGTGTTGTGTGCTCCATTGGTGAGTCCTGTAGCCCTGTTCCCACAGGTGTGAGGATCTGAACTTGTGGTCACTTGTGTTGTGTGCTCCATTGGTGAGTCCTGTAGCCCTGTTCCCACAGGTGTGAGGATCTGAACTTGTCGTCACTTGTGTTGTGTGCTCCATTGGTGAGTTCTGTAGCCCAGTTCCCACACGTGTGAGGATCTGAACTTGTCGTCACTTGTGTTGTGTGCTCCATTGGTGAGTCCTGTAGCCCTGTTCCCACAGGTGTGAGGATCTGAACTTGCCGTCACTTGTGTTGTGTGCTCCATTGACTACTGTGACACCACACATGGGGATGGAGACAGCTCAGCTCTAAAGGTATGAGAACTAGGAGCAGGGCAGAGGGAGGTGGTTTCCTCTGCCATTTATGTTTCAGTAGAGCATCAGCTCTCTAATCTTTTCTGGTAATCTTAGTTTCTGCTTCATAGCAAACGGGTTACTCCATAGTTGCTCCTCTCCTGTGCCAATGAAAAACATACAGAATGTTTATCACAGTCACTTGTGGAAAGATTGACAGACTGCTGTCTAGCGTATGTACTAGCATACACACGCATTAAAAGCATACAGTAGCCATCTGAAGTGCTAACACAAACAGTCCGACATTTAGAATGGTAGCACTAGCAGAAGTCACCAACAGATCAGCAGCAATTGCACACGTGATCAATTTTAATCACATAATCACTAATATTGCGACAACCGGCATCACACCATTTTCTGAATATACAATTCACACCACCACCTTGGTCACAGTCAAAAAACATTCCAAATGAAATCTGCAGCTCACAGTGTCACACCTTGCACTCAACTCAGAAGCTGGGCAACGAAACTATATCCTCTGTCTACAAAGGGAGCAAAAATGCAACCGCCACCGTCTGGCAGAAGCAACAATTTGCCACGGCACAAAACAGTGGCCATGCCTAGCGTCCATTTTGACCGGAAATTTATCTCTCTTTAGCATCAGGTCTCTAATCTTTTGCTGCCTGCAAGTCTTCCCTTTTAGTTTAGGTGCATTATCCATCTCTAGAACCATTCCTAAAATACCATGGTCCAAGAAGAAGAGCCACACCCATATCTTACATGATCTGAGTATCAAGGAGAATTGGCTGATGTTGTTGTTATCGATCCAACGGCGCATGAGCTTTCGCCCTCTGGCCCAATGCCATGTAGTGCAATTTGCATGTTTTCACAAGCTGTTCTTTTTCACCGTACAAGGTATTCCACTTGTCTGGTCTCGGAGGGAGTAGAATTCTAGTCTCGTTGAGTTTTGGGCACTCAAAGAAATAGTGGTCAACAGTTTTGTTTGCTTAGTTACATAGCTGACACTCTGGGAAGTGTTCTGGCTGTATTCTGTTTAGATGCCCACTGAGTGGAGTATGTTGTGTTCTGAGTGTGAAGATGGTGGCCTGGTCCCTTCTTGTTAGATGGTTAATGCTGTCGTTAGAATTAGGGTTAGCCAGTTATCCATAAACCTCTCTTCCAGTATCGCCCATGGCCCATCTGTTAGCCAACTCTCTTTGTTTATAGCACTTATAAGTGTTTTGCTGTCTGTAGGGTTGTCACTGTAGGTGGTTGTTCTTGTGTTGCTCCTTTCTTTGCCAGTCCGTCAGCTCTGTCATTACCTGGTGTGCTGGAGTGGCCTGGAATCAACTGCATCACTATTCTGATGTTGTATGAGGTAATAAGCTGATCAGCATCCAGCACAGGGGTTTGTGCAATGTACCCAAGGGGGTGGGGGTGGTATAGAGATCTTGCCATGTACTCAAGGGAGGTGTGAGTTTCTTCAGTATGTTCGGGAAGGGGGGGGGACCACGACCTGACAAGGATAGACCACTGATTTATTTGGTATAAAATATTGTCTGAAAGGTAAGCACGTCTGGTTTGTTTTGGCCACTGACCAGCCATTGAGAGTTTCAGTTAGGCCTTCGATGACCAACTGCTATATTTGTACCCCCAGGTATGACTGTCTGACTGGTGTACCTGACACACAGAAATCTGTGGGCTTTGAAAAGGGCTGTGTGCTCTACAACATTGGGGCCCTCTATACTCAGATTGCCTGCAGGCAGGTGAGGTATCTGGTTCTCTTGTTATGTCTTATTGCTGATTGTTGATCTTCATGTAGATTCTGGGGCCCAGATTTGGGGACACAATAAGACCTACTGCCCCCCCCCCCTCCTCTCTCCCGACAAGCTTGTTGCAAAAGGTGATCATAATAAGTGTTGTTTCCTTAGAACTATGAGAACATCTGCTGGAGAGGCCGGGCAGCAATAGTGTGCTTACAAGTAAGGCAGATCTGTCAAATGGTTGTGCATGCAGAACTCCAGTTCTTGGACGAGACTAAAGTCCAGGAGTGGATGAACAATCAAAACTTCTGCTGAAGTTTACAGTAGGAAGAAATAGAAAAAGCTCAATGTGGAGTTAAGGTGTGAAGGGTTGTCCTGTCCTGCAGGTCACTGAGGCTGTTCAGTGTGGAGTTGAGGTGTGAGTGGTTGTCCTGTCCTGCAGGTCACTGAGGCTGTTCAGTGTGGAGTTGAGGTGTGAGTGGTTGTCCTGTCCTGCAGGTCACTGAGGCTGTTCAGTGTGGAGTTGAGGTGTGAGTGGTTGTCCTGTCCTGCAGGTCACTGAGGCTGTTCAGTGTGGAGTTGAGGTGTGTGTCACAGTGTGGGTGGTGTGTACATTTTAAAGAGGGGATAGAAGAAGAAGAGAAGATATAAAAGTAGAGAAAGAGATAGACGAGAAGAAATAATAGTTAAAGGATGTATAAGAGGACAATAGGTTCTCCTGTGTGGAGAGTGTAGTAATAAGTCTACACCCCAAACGATCAGGTAATGGTCAGTGGAGGTCTTATGAAGGAGAGAGAAGATATATAGTAAAGTGGTGGTGGTATGAAGACTACAGCAACTAACAATAATAGTACCACTCCTATACTCAACAAACTAACGGTGGAATAAAAGAATAACAACTAACAATCATGTTTATTAAGAAACAGCATTACAGTCGTCTATCTCATGTTACACAACCGACAGATGTTATATTATGTTATAAACAGAACGTCCTCACACTATAAGACTCAGCAACTGACAGCAGAATCCACTCAACGATAAACTAGCAAATGACGCCTAGAATATCCTTCATTGCTCTACAAATAATAAGCCAAATAACAACTACAATCTAGCCATCTACTCTAATGCCAAATACCGACCATCATCTAACCGTACTGCTGATTGCAGTCTAGATGCCATCTAACTATAGCCAAATACCGACTACCATCTAGCCATACTGCTGATTGCAGTCTAGATACCATCTAACTATAGCTGATCTACAGTCCAAAGACCATCTAGCCTATTTAGCCAACCCGGCACACCATGACAGAAACTGCCATGTCACATAACATGAAGCAATATTTTGTGCATTATCTGGCAAGTCACAAAACAGAAGTATGGACAGCTCCATCGTAGCGACATGATCAGAATGCCCACAGCATCCTTCGTTGGCGGCGATCTCAGCGCAAGTGTCTCCCTGGCTACTCGCTGGTAGTGTATATACCCCTGATGCCACTTGGTTATATATCTCTTCTTTGTACCTGAGTTCAAACCTTTTCTTCTTAGGTTCATGAACCTTTCTCTTTCCCCCCCAAAGATGGTATTCCAGCCACTTTGCATATTTGGATGGAAAATCCCCAGGAAATCTTGTGTCGTTTGCTTTGTTCGTTGCCCTGCCTCTGTTAATTTACGAGTATATTGGCCTACCACAGTTCATGAACAAGCTTGGCATGCACCCACGTCTTTGTCGACTCTTGAGTCAATGCCCTCAGGGTTGTTAGCTAGCGACCCTCTTTATCTCAAGCGACTATACCTCTTTATTCCTCCGTGTGTTTCTTTCCTTCTATTTCCTTCTTGTCATAAACGTGACTGTAATCAGTACTGTCACATTACTCCTATACTCAACAAACTAACGGTGGAATAAAAGAATAACAACTAACAATCATGTTTATTAAGAAACAGCATTACAGTCGTCTATCTCATGTTACACAACCGACAGATGTTATATTATGTTATAAACAGAACGTCCTCACACTATAAGACTCAGCAACTGACAGCAGAATCCACTCAACGATAAACTAGCAAATGACGCCTAGAATATCCTTCATTGCTCTACAAATAATAAGCCAAATAACAACTACAATCTAGCCATCTACTCTAATGCCAAATACCGACCATCATCTAACCGTACTGCTGATTGCAGTCTAGATGCCATCTAACTATAGCCAAATACCGACTACCATCTAGCCATACTGCTGATTGCAGTCTAGATACCATCTAACTATAGCTGATCTACAGTCCAAAGACCATCTAGCCTATTTAGCCAACCCGGCACACCATGACAGAAACTGCCATGTCACATAACATGAAGCAATATTTTGTGCATTATCTGGCAAGTCACAAAACAGAAGTATGGACTTAGCTCCATCGTAGCGACATGATCAGAATGCCCACAGCATCCTTTGTTGGCGGCGATCTCAGCGCAAGTGTCTCCCTGGCTACTCGCTGGTAGTGTATATACCCCTGATGCCACTTGGTTATATATCTCTTCTTTGTACCTGAGTTCACGAACCTTTTCTTCTTAGGTTCATGAACCTTTCTCTTTCCCGCCAAAGATGGTATTCCAAGCCACTTTGCATATTTGGATGGAAAATCCCCAGGAAATCTTGTGTCGTTTGCTTTGTTCGTTGCCCTGCCTCTGTTAATTTACGAGTATATTGGCCTACCACAGTTCATGAACAAGCTTGGCATGCACCCACATCTTTGTCGACTCTTAAGTCAATGCCCTCAGGGTTGTTAGCTAGCGACCCTCTTTATCTCAAGCGACTCTATACCTCTTTATTCCTCCGTGTGTTTCTTTCCTTCTATTTCCTTCTTGTCATAAACGTGACTGTAATCAGTACTGTCACATTACTCCTATACTCAACAAACTAACGGTGGAATAAAAGAATAACAACTAACAATCATGTTTATTAAGAAACAGCATTACAGTCGTCTATCTCATGTTACACAACCGACAGATGTTATATTATGTTATAAACAGAACGTCCTCACACTATAAGACTCAGCAACTGACAGCAGAATCCACTCAACGATAAACTAGCAAATGACGCCTAGAATATCCTTCATTGCTCTACAAAATATAAGCCAAATAACAACTACAATCTAGCCATCTACTCTAATGCCAAATACCGACCATCATCTAACCGTACTGCTGATTGCAGTCTAGATGCCATCTAACTATAGCCAAATACCGACTACCATCTAGCCATACTGCTGATTGCAGTCTAGATACCATCTAACTATAGCTGATCTACAGTCCAAAGACCATCTAGCCTATTTAGCCAACCCGGCACACCATGGACAGAAAAGTGCCATGTCACATAACATGAAGCAATATTTGTGCATTATCTGGCAAGTCACAAAACAGAAGTATGGACTTAGCTCCATCGTAGCGACATGATCAGAATGCCCACAGCATCCTTCGTTGGCGGCGATCTCAGCGCAAGTGTCTCCCTGGCTACTCGCTGGTAGTGTATATACCCCTGATGCCACTTGGTTATATATCTCTTCTTTGTACCTGAGTTCACGAACCTTTTCTTCTTAGGTTCATGAACCTTTCTCTTTCCCGCCAAAGATGGTATTCCAAGCCACTTTGCATATTTGGATGGAAAATCCCCAGGAAATCTTGTGTCGTTTGCTTTGTTCGTTGCCCTGCCTCTGTTAATTTACGAGTATATTGGCCTACCACAGTTCATGAACAAGCTTGGCATGCACCCACGTCTTTGTCGACTCTTGAGTCAATGCCCTCAGGGTTGTTAGCTAGCGACCCTCTTTATCTCAAGCGACTCTATACCTCTTTATTCCTCCGTGTGTTTCTTTCCTTCTATTTCCTTCTTGTCATAAACGTGACTGTAATCAGTACTGTCACATGTGAATGGTTGTCCTGTCCTGCAGGTCACTGAGGCTGTTCAGTGTGGAGTTGAGGTGTGAGGGGTTGTCCTGTCCTGCAGGTCACAGAGGTTGTTCAGTGTGGAGTTGAGGTGTGAAGGGTTGTCCTGTCCTGCAGGTCACTGAGGCTGTTCAGTGTGGAGTTGAGGTGTGAGGGGTTGTCCTGTCCTGCAGGTCACTGAGGCTGTTCAGTGTGGAGTTGAGGTGTGAATGGTTGTCCTGTCCTGCAGGTCACAGATGCTGCTCATTGTGGAGTTGAGGTGTGAGGGGTTGTCCTGTCCTGCAGGTCACAGAGGTTGTTCAGTGTGGAGTTGAGGTGTGAGGGGTTGTCCTGTCCTACAGGTCACAGAGGCTGCTCATTGTGGAGTTGAGGTTAGAGGGGTTGTCCTGTCCTGCAGATCACAGAGGTTGTTCAGTGTGGAGTTGAGGTGTGAGGGGTTGTCCTGTCCTGCAGATCACAGAGGTTGTTCAGTGTGGAGTTGAGGTGTGAATGGTTGTCCTGTCCTGCAGGTCACAGAGGCTGCTCATTGTGGAGTTGAGGTGTGAGGGGTTGTCCTGTCCTGCAGGTCACTGAGGCTGTTCAGTGTGGAGTTGAGGTGTGAATGGTTGTCCTGTCCTGCAGGTCACAGAGGCTGCTCATTGTGGAGTTGAGGTGTGAGGGGTTGTCCTGTCCTGCAGATCACAGAGGTTGTTCAGTGTGGAGTTGAGGTTAGAGGGGTTGTCCTGTCCTGCAGATCACAGAGGTTGTTCAGTGTGGAGTTGAGGTGTGAGGGGTTGTCCTGTCCTGCAGGTCACAGAGGCTGTTCAGTGTGGAGTTGAGGTGTGAATGGTTGTCCTGTCCTGCAAGTCACAAAGGCTGCTCATTGTGGAGTTGAGGTGTGAGGGGTTGTCCTGTCCTGCAGGTCACAGAGGCTGCTCAGTGTGTGGCCAACAACAGTCTTCTGTGAACTATTTGTCCTTCCCACAGCGCTTTGCTAATGCAGTTTCCACGTATGGACAAAAGTTGTTTCGCTGCATGAGCTACTGAGTCTAGGACTGATTGCAACACTGTGTAATGTAGTTTGCGTGTGAAATACCTTACATTTGTGCAACGGTTGTGGCTTGGTATTCAGTATGGCTGGTATCCAGTCTACTTGTTTGCTGCCAAAATGCCTTATGTAATAATTTTACCGGTGTGTAGCCAACTTATTGTGACTATTTCCGTCAATGATAAACTACATTTATGGTGGCAACTTTTGGCTTTATCGCCTCTAGCAACTGATGTATGTATTTACTGCATGTGCATATTTCTGGATTGCACTAGAACTGTTTGTTCACCAGTTTTTCAGATGGAATAGTAGGGTTTTTTTTATTTGATTTTTCACTGGCACAAGAAGAAGCATTTATGTGGTGACCCGATTGGAGCGTAATAAAAACCTGGACTGAGACCTGTATGCTTGATTCTCTCATGTGGTGTTGATCACCCTGCCTGTCCCCCAGCCTTCTTGCTTATCTCATGTCTGATACAGATGTTTCTGTATGCTGTCTAATGTCTCTCTTGGTCTCCCCCCACCTCTTTGTTGGTGTCTCCACCTCTCTGTTGATCTCCCCACCCCTCTCTTGATCTTCCCACCTCTCTCTTGGTCTCCACAACCTCTCTGTTGGTCCCTCCACCTCTCTCTTGATCTTCCCACCTCTCTCTTGATCTTCCTACCTCTCTCTTGGTCTCCACAACCTCTCTCTTGGTCTCCCCCACCCCTCTCTTGATCTCCCCCTCCCCTCTCTTGATCTCCCCCACCTCTCTTTCCCTCCAGCTTACAGTTGTTACAAGGTGGTGTCCCCTCTTCCACATAATGTGGGAGCTTGCTTAGTGTACCCTAGACTGATATCATCTGTGGTGTGTCCCCTGGCTAGGATCGGACAACCCATGAGGGTGTGGTGCAGGCAATAGTCAACTTTGAGAAGGCAGCAGGAGCATTCCAGTACTTGGAGAACCGGTTCAGTTCAGCCCCAAGCCAGGATATGCAGCAGCAGACATTGTCCATGCTGGTTTCACTGATGTTGGTGAGTGCACACATGTAGACACCAGCAATCATCTAATCATGTAGACACCAGCACTGGTCTAATCATGTAGACACCAGCAATCATCTAATCATGTAGACACCAGCACTTGTTTAATCATGTAGACACAGCACTCATTTAATCATGTAGACACCAGCACTTGTCTCATCATGTAGACACCAGCACTTGTCTCATGTAGACACCAGCACTCATTTAATCATGTAGACACCAGCACTCATTTAATCATGTAGACACCAGCACTTGTCTCATCATGTAGACACCAGCACTTGTCTCATGTAGACACCAGCACTCATTTAATCATGTAGACACCAGCACTCATTTAATCATGTAGACACAGCACTCATTTAATCATGTAGACACCAGCACTCATTTAATCATGTAGACACCAGCACTCATTTAATCATGTAGACACCAGCACTCATTTAATCATGTAGACACCAGCACTCATTTAATCATGTAGACACCAGCACTCATTTAATCATGTAGACACAGCACTCATACACACGCATTAAAAGCATATGGTAGCCATCCGAAGTGCTAACACAAACAGTCCGACATTTAGAATGGTAGCACTAGCAGAAGTCACCAACAGATCAGCAGCAATAGCACACACGATCACTTTTAATCACATAATCACTAATACTGCGACAACCGGCATCACGCCATTTTCTGAATCACTCATTTAATCATGTAGACACCAGCACTCATTTAATCATGTAGACACAGCACTCATTTAATCATGTAGACACCAGCAATCATCTAATCATGTAGACACCAGCACTCGTTTAATCATGTAGACACCAGCACTCGTTTAATCATGTAGACACCAGCACTCGTTTAATCATGTAGACACCAGCACTGCATCAATCTGTATGGTTCTTTCTCTGTCAAGACACCAGTACTGCATCAGTCTGTATAGTTCTTGTTTTATTGTGTCAGATGGTAAAACTACATCAAGCTGTATACTTATCTTTATCCCTTCTCAGTAAGATAGATGCCACCAATACTGTCTGAATCAATACTGCCCATAAGTCTGTAAACATATGAATGAGAAGGGTCCTTGACCACCATTATAGTCTGTATACCTGTTATCTTGATATTGTAGACACTAACCACTGCGTGTTTGGAAAGCCAAGGATTTTCCAGAGCCAGCTGGCAAGATACAGAAAGATTTACTGTCCCCCAACAGAAGCAACAGGTGGGGGGGGGGGGGGGCATCTCACCTAGCTCACCTGTGTGAATGTAGTGGTGCCTAGCTCACCTGTGTGAATGTAGTGGTGCCTAGCTCACCTGTGTGAATGTAGTGGTGCCTAGCTCACCTGTGTGAATGTAGTGGTGCCTAGCTCACCTGTGTGAATGTAGTGGTGCCTAGCTCACCTGTGTGGATGTGGTGGTGCTTAACTCACCTGTGTGGATGTGGTGGTGCCTAGCTCACATGTGTGGATGTGGTGGTGCCTAGCTCACCTGTGTGAATGTGGTAGTGCCTAGCTCAGCTGTGTGGATGTGGTGGTGACTAACTCACCTGTGTGAATGTAGTGGTGCCTAGCTCACCTGTGTGGATGTGGTGGTGCCTAACTCACCTGTGTGGATGTGGTGGTGCCTAGCTCACATGTGTGGATGTGGTGGTGCCTAGCTCACCTGTGTGGATGTGGTGGTGCCTAGCTCACCTGTGTGGATGTGGTAGTGCCTAGCTCAACTGTGTGGATGTGGTGGTGCCTAGCTCACCTGTGTGGATGTGGTAGTGCCTAGCCTAACTATGTGGATGTGATAGTGCCTAGCTCACCTGTGTGGATGTGGTGGTGCCTAGCTCATCAGTGTGGATGTGGTAGTGCCTAACTGTGTGGATGTTGTGATGCCTACTCACCTGTGTGGATGTGGTATTGTCTAGCTCAACTGTGTGGATGTGGTGGTGCCTAGCTCACCTGTGTGGATATGGTGGTGCCCAGCTCACCTGTATGGATGTGGTGGTGCCTTGGATTACCTGTGTGGATGTAGATAACTTACCATTGATTGCATCTACACAGCCATAAACCTGACTGTCATGTACAGTTGAGGAGTGATCAGGGGAAGAGAAATGGAACTGGTTCCCTGACCTCAGAAGATGGTCTGTACTACAAGATGCCCAGACTGTCTGTCATATATGCACTGTAACCTCTTTTGGCAGGCTCAAGCTCAGGAGTGTGTCCTAGAGGGCTGGTTGCTGGCTGGCTCCAAAGATGGCCTCTCTAACTGTTGCCACGTGGCTGGGGAAGCTGCCCGGGTGAGTCAGTCTTTCTACTCACTTGTCTAGACAGAGGAAAGTGGTAGGTGAGGAGGAGATAGAGGATGGTGGTAGAGAGAGATGTGAGGGGGGGTGAAGAAGAGTAGACAGGGAAGAAATGAATCACTGAGCAGAATGGAAAGAGTGGAGGTTGACACACAGGTAGACACAGGTATGCTCTTTGCAGAGTAGAGAGTGTGGGAGGTAGACACAGGTATGTTCTCTGCAGAGTAGAGAGTGTGGGAGGTAGACACAGATATGCTCTCTGCAGAGTAGAGAGTGGTGTGGAAGGTAGACACAGGTATGCTCTTTGCAGAGTAGAGAGTGTGGTAGGTAGACACAGGTATGCTCTCTGCAGAGTAGAGAGTGTGGGAGGTAGACACAGGTATGCTCTTTGCAGAGTAGAGAGTGTGGGAGGTAGACACATGTATGCTCTCTGCAGAGTAGAGAGTGTGGAAGGTAGACACAGGTATGCTCTCTGCAGAGTAGAGAGTGTGGAAGGTAGACACAGGTATGCTCTCTGCAGAGTAGAGAGTGTGGGATGTAGACACAGGTATGCTCTCTGCAGAGTAGAGAGTGTGGTAGGTAGACACAGGTATGCTCTGTGCAGAGTAGAGAGTGTGGGAGGTAGACACAGGTATGCTCTGTGCAGAGTAGAGAGTGTGGGAGGTAGACTAAGGTATGCTCTGTGCAGAGTAGAGAGTGTGGAAGGTAGACACAGGTATGCTCTGTGCAGAGTAGAGAGTGTGGGAGGTAGACTAAGGTATGCTCTGTGCAGGGTGGCAAGCATCACTTCAGAGGTCCAGTATAGTTAGCATCCTTTAGATGTTTTCTTATCATAGTATGTTGGGAAATGAACAGGCAGATAGACTACACCCTTGGTGGTAAACTGGTGCATGAACAGGGCAGAGGCACACTGACATTCCACGCTCGGAGAAAAGGCCAGACGGACAAACGATCGGACTTCTGCTGACACCATTGGAACTCTTCGCTGGCTGCTGAGGATGATGGGAGTGTCCAGAGCGCTGTGATGTCAGTTTTTGAAACTCAACTTAGTTTTGGAGAGATCAGCAGCTGCTATAGTACCAGCACATAAACATCAGTGGAGGTCAGCAGTTGCTATAATACCAGCACATTAAACATCAATGGAGGTCAGCAGCTGCTATAGTACCAGCACATCAAACATCAGTGGAGGTCAGCAGCTGCTATAGTACCAGCACATCAAACATCAGTGGCAGCACATCAGTGGAGGTCAGCAGCTGCTATAGTAACAGCACATAAACATCAGTGGAGGTCAGAAGCTGCTATAGTACCAGCACATCAAACATCAGTGGAGGTCAGCAGTTGCTATAGTACCAGCACATCAAACATCAGTGGAGGTCAGCAGTTGCTATAGTACCAGCACATCAAACATCAGTGGAGGTCAGCAGTTGCTATAGTACCAGCACATCAAACATCAGTGGAGGTCAGCAGTTGCTATAGTACCAGCGCATCAAACATCAGTGGAGGTCAGCAGTTGCTATAATACCAGCACATTTAACATCAGTGGAGGTCAGCAGCTGCTATAGTACCAGCACATTAAACATCAATGGAGGTCAGCAGCTGCTATAGTACCAGCACATCAAACATCAGTGGAGGTCAGCAGCTGCTATAGTACCAGCACATCAAACATCAGTGGAGGTCAGCAGCTGCTATAGTACCAGCACATTAAACATCAGTGGAGGTCAGCAGTTGCTATAGTACCAGCACATCAAACATCAGTGGAGGTCAGCAGCTGCTATAGTACCAGCACATCAAACATCAGTGGAGGTCAGCAGCTGCTATAGTACCAGCACATCAAACATCAGTGGCAGCACATCAATGGAGGTCAGCAGCTGCTATAGTACCAGCACATCAAACATCAGTGGGGGTCAGCAGCTGCTATAGTACCAGCACATCAAACATCAGTGGAGGTCAGCAGCTGCTATAGTACCAGCACATCAAACATCAGTGGCAACACATCAGTGGAGGTCAGCAGCTGCTATAGTACCAGCACATCAGACATCAGTGAAGGTCAGCAGCTGCTATAGTACCAGCACATCAGACATCAGTGGCAGCACATCAGACATCTTCGAGACAGTAAGTAACCCCAATCCATAATCAATCACTGAGATGATTAAGTGCTGGTAAAGTGTGAACAGCATTCTCTGCTCCATGTCCATCGCTGCCATAATCTTTAATGCATTTAGACCTTTTTGAGCCTATATCACAACTCCCTCTATGTAATCCCTGAAAGACAAACTTTGTCAAAGGTGATTTCCACGTACCGCAGTCTGCTGTATCTTTTGATGATGCTGCCATTTATTTTGAGTCTGGGAACATCAGTTCTAACAATCATGTTATCCAAAGAACACCACAGGACGGTTGCTTCTCCTGGGTTAATTACAGCACTCACCTCTGTACACCAGTCGATCACCTTATTTACTGTCGCCTGAAACGCTTGAACTATTTGATTCCGATCTCTCCCCTTCCTATATACAAGAACATCATCTAAAAATGCCAATATTCTACCAACTCCAGGTGTTTCCAGACAGGCAATTTTGCTCGTAAAAACATGGAATGGTACAGGTGAAACTGCAGCTCCCTGTGGTAGTCCTTGAGCTATAATACATGGTTCAGAGGTCCATGAACCCAGGTGCAGAGCTACCCAGCGAGTATACAAAACAGCTGCTATCCAATTCACCAACCAAGGACAGACTCCCTTCTCCATAAGTGCTTTCATCAAGATACTGTATCTGACTCTGTTGTAAGCGTCTTCTAAATCGAGTGCCGCTGCCACCGTTTCCTGTCTGTTCTGGAGACCTTTGAAGGTATCAAAGGCAGAAGTGGCTGAATCTGACCATGTGTCCTTCCCTGGCTGGTAACTCCCCAATCCTCGTGGAAGGAGATTACTCCCTCGTTTTCTCCTCTTCACCCTCTCTTTGCTGCTTGCTGAAGATGACGTCAAGCGCAGAGCTCATGCTCTGTAGCTCTGGCGACAATTCTTATTAAATGAAAATGAAAAATCCATATGTTGAAGTTGTTTGACAGTGTCTTATGTTGCAAGTATTGGCAACAGAGTCTTGTATGTTTCACGTGTCGGAGACATATTGACAGTCTTCCTTTTTTCAGGTAGCTGAGAAATACAAGCAGACCCATGAGAAGATGTGCCAGGAGCCCACCAAGAGTTACCTGCCCTTCTCCTGGCTGTCTATGGCTGAGAGCAAATATCACTTCTACAGGGGACTGGCCCACTTCTACGTGGCTGCAGCTCTGTTAGATCAGAAAGGTACATTTGTCTGTCTTTCTGTCTGTCTGGTTCTGTCTACCACTACTGTGTGGCTGTAGCTCTGTTAAATCAGAAAGGTACATTTGTTGGTCTTTCTGTCTGTCTGGTTCTGTCTACCACTACTATGTGGCTGTAGCTGTTAAATCAGAAAGGTACATTTGTTGTATGTCTGTCTGTCTGGTTCTGTCTACCACTACTATGTGACTGTAGCTGTTAAATCAGAAAGGTACATTTGTTGTATGTCTGTATGTCTGGTTCTGTCTACCACTACTATGTGGCTGTAGCTCTGTTAAATCAGAAAGGTACATTTGTTGTCTGTTTGGTTCTGTCTACAGGAGACTGGCCCACTTCTATCTGGCTGTAGCTCTGCTAGATCAGAAAGATGCACTTGTCAGCGCTTGCTTTTAGTTTTATGATGATTTAATTTTTTGGGAGTATCACTGCTGCTGCTAATAACTACTGCTAACTAATGTGACCGATGCTGCTACTAATACTGTTTCTACTCCTACTCTTGAGCATTGGTTTTGTCATCTTCATATTCTGTGGCATTCCTGCCAGTTTCAAAATGTTTCTTAGTGCCATACTTTTTCCTTGGTCTCATATCACACAGCCAGCGTTTACTTCTTTTGCACTGGTGACATCTTCATTGAAATCTTGTCTGTTTGCTCTTACTCTTTCTCTGTTATGTTGCTGCTCTTCCTCTCTCTCTGTTCTGCTGCTGCTCTTTCTCTCTCACTGTTCTGCAGCTGCTCTTTCTCTCTCACTGTTCTGCAGCTGCTCTTTCTCTCTCACTGTTCTGCAGCTGCTCTTTCTCTCTCACTGTTCTGCTGCTGCTCTTTCTCTCTCACTGTTCTGCAGCTGCTCTTTCTCTCTCACTGTTCTGCTGCTGCTCTTTCTCTCTCACTGTTCTGCTGCTGCTCTTTCTCTTCTCACTGTTCTGCAGCTGCTCTTTCTCTTCTCACTGTTCTGCTGCTGCTCTTTCTCTTCTCACTGTTCTGCTGCTGCTCTTTCTCTTCTCACTGTTCTGCTGCTGCTCTTTCTCTCTCACTGTTCTGCTGCTGCTCTTTCTCTCTCACTGTTGTTGCTGCTGCTGCTGCTCTTCTCTCTTCTCACTGTTCTGCCGCTGCTCTTTCTCTCTCTCACTGTTCTGCCGCTGCTCTTTCTCTCTCTCACTGTTCTGCCGCTGCTCTTTCTCTTCTCACTGTTCTGCCGCTGCTCTTTCTCTCTCACTGTTCTGCCGCTGCTCTTTCTCTTCTCACTGTTCTGCCGCTGCTCTTTCTCTCTCACTGTTCTGCTACTGTGAGTTCAACAGTGGAGTCTGGATAAGTAGAAGTCACTGGGACCCAAGGAATCAGTAGAATCCAAGGAATCCACTTATCAGGAATTCTACTTATCCATAATAGAGAGAGTAAGCTAATAACTTGCAGTAGCATTGAGTCAACCAATTGTATCACTTAAAGACATCTTAGGTTAACAGATAAATAGCAATAAATTAGAAGTGTTGAAATTTTCAAACCTCTGGTGTGCTAACAAATACAACACATCAGGAAGAAAAAACTGAATATCTAAGATAAAGAAAACATTACAGAAAACCAAGCCAGAGAAAATTTTAGAGGAAATGAAGGAAAATGAGAGAGAGGAGAGCATAAAGAAGAATCATAGGAGGAGAGGAAGATAGGCGAGAGAGGAAACAGGATGAAGAGACAAAGGGGTAGGAGGGAGGAGAGCAAGAGAACAGAGTGAGGATAGAGTTCCGACAAATCCAAATATTTGAGGTAACAAATTTAGACTTATCAGGCAAAGATAAAGAAAGAAACGGCCTAGGACTGAGCTGATCATGTCGAGCAGAATTCAGTTCTTCTTAAGTGGACTCGACTGTGGTCCTTTCTCCAGCGCCTTGTTATGAGCAATCATGTCTTGTCAGAACTGCCACTCAGTAAATTTGTTCAGCAGCTAGTGCAAAGTTCCTGCCACCAACAATGCTCATGCATGCACGCACACACACACGCATTAACAGAGAGAAAGATTATATTCCTAGAGGAGCAAGTACACATAAGAGAGAGAGAGAGAGCTGTAACACACATTTGTCTTGTCATGTTGTCAGTGATAGATGTACTGTCAGTGATAGATGTACTGTCGGTGATAGATGTGCTGTCAGTGATAGATGTGCTTTCAGTGACAGATTTGCTGTCAGTGACAGACGTGCTGTTACTGATAGATGTACTGTCAGTGATAGATGTACTGTCAGCGATAGATGTACTGTCAGTGACAGATGTGCTGTCAGTGGTTATTTGATGATGTCTGACTGTTGTTGCCTGCCTGTCTCAGCAGACAGCGGTGATGTCACCAGGTTGAGGCAGATGTTTGAGACCATTCTGCTGGACTCGGCCACTAGAGATGAGAACAACGGACTCAAGCTGCCCACCACGGAGGAGGAGAGGAGGTGTATAGGTGAGTGCTTGTTGTGATCACTGATTGACAGCTGTTGTTGCTGACCACTGTCATGGAATGTAGGTTACCTGCGCAGTGCTTCAGTGTCCTCCAATAGATCACACAGGGAGGCTCTCAGCACAGCGCTCAGACTTTGAGGCACTGGCCTCGGATCTGCATGTGTTGAGCTGACCCAACCCCAGTACACCTGCCATATATCTTTGTAAAGATGGATTTTGGCAGCACTGTTTGGGAAGCATGCACTCATTACCGCTTAACCGCTGAGGGATTTTTGAATGGGAATTAACTTGTGCAGCATGCACAAGGATCTTCCTGGTTTCTTGTCCCTATCCATAATTGTGGTCAGTGTATCGTCCATGTCTGAATTTGTGAAAACCTTATACTCTTTACAGTGAAAATTGTGCTTGTGCTGACATAAGTTTCCCAGCCTCAATGTGACTGACACATTATGTTGCTTGAATGGGCACAGATTCCCTGCTGCTTCTGAGATACCTGCAGTCTCAGTTGAGTAGTGACTGCCTGAATGCTGCCCTTTTCTGTTTCTAGAGTATTAATTTTGTAATAAGTTCTTGGAATTCTGCTTCGGAACCAGCCATGAGATCTATGTTGTCTGCAAAACATACATTACACAGTTGTCTTCCCCCAATGGATATGGATGTTTCCTGATTCTAGTGTTTCTCTCATGATGTGATCCGTATACAAATTGAAAAGGACAGTGGATAGTCTCACTCCCACATTTGCCTAAGTCATTTTGAATGAGTACTGCACTGCTTGCATCTATAAAGGGCTTCTATGATGTTCTTGGAGTAGGTCGCTTTGATGTTGTAGGTGTTTTTCTATCATTGTTCTTTGGGGCTTTTGCGGCTTTTCAGATTTCTTTTATTTGGCAGTGGTATCACCAACGATTGTGTCCATTCAGTAGGCTACTTCTTTGTGATCCAAATTCTCTGGCACAGTCATCACCTTAGTTACGTGATCTCCGTATTTCAAAAGTTCAGCAAGGACATTGTCCACACCTGGCAATTTACCTTCTTTTAGTGAGCGTATCGCCTCCTCAACTTCTCTTATTATTTCAGCGTCGTCACCTTCTCTGTTTGTCCGTACAATGGTGTCTGGGACTGGAGTTTCAGACTCTGCTTCTTGGTTATTTAAGTCTTTACAATATTCCGTCCATCTCTCAACTATTTCTGTTTTCTGATTAAAGGGTCACTACACTGCATTTTTTCCAATTTATGACAAAAATATCACTTTTTCAGTGTGTTCGTTTTTATAAAGTTCGTCATTTGTAGAATAGATTACACACAAAATTTATGTCATTTGTAAACAATTTAGCATTAAAAAGTTCACACTAAAGACACCAACCCATGCAGTTTTTTAAGATCTCTATTTTTCTGTTTGTTGTGTGTGAAAAACCCTAAAATCTCAGCTAATATAAAGACTAGAAACATGAAATTTAGTTTGGATACTCCTGAAACAATATTATAAGGACTGATCTATTTAAAAGTAAATTACAGAGAGGTTTTTTTATTTTTTTTTTTTAATTTGATTATCTTATGATGCTATATTTTCTTTTGACTTGTTCAATAAACCTAGACTTTGAAATTCTAGGAAAAATATTTAAAAACATGTTTGAAGTAAATAAACTACAACTGTACCTCTAAATAGGATTCAAGGTCATGAATCTCTCACCTGTTGTTTACACTTAAAGTATACAAATGTCATAACATGTATCCCTACAAATGACAGTTATAAAATAACTGCTCTAACTCTGTAAATTAAAAAAAAAAATGTTTTGGTGTAGTGACCCCTTAAGTTTGTATCCTCTATAATGGGTATGTTGGGTTTTGTGGTTTGGTTAGTCTGAAAACACACACACAGAGATAAATGTTTGTTTCTCTGTGTGATTCTCTAGGCAAAGCCCATCTCAGGGAGGCGGTGATCAACCACGAGGAGTCACTGCGTATCCACAACCTGTGTAAACAGTTGCGCAGGATCGATACCTTCCGGGACATTCTTCACAAAACTCATGAGAGGTTTGTCAGCTTTGGTGATATTTATCTTACCTTGTTGATTAATGTGTGGACTTTAGAAATAAATGTGACAATTTGGTGATAAATGTGTGGACTTTAGAAGTAAATGTGACAACTTGGTGATAAATGTGTGGACTTTCAGAAATAAATGTGTGAGCATGGATGATAAATGTGACAACTTGGTGATAAATGTGTGTGCTTTGAATATAAATGTATCAGTGTGGAGTTACATGAGTAAAACAGTATGTATGTCTGTGTGTCAGTCTGGCATTCTGTTTGAGTACAGACTTCTTGCACTTGTCTGTCTGTGTCCCCTCTACCACTGTCAAGTTTAGGTCTCCTTACCTATCATTGACACACATCGCTTGTTTTTCCCCCCACTGCACAGGCACACACATACAGGAGCATCCCTTCCTTTGTACCATCAATAGATTGGACTGTCTGCAACAGCCTGTGTAATAACATGCAAGTCTTAGCTTGCACATCTGCATAATAAATAGAGAGAGAATGAGTGATTAGAGAAAAGCACAAGACAGACAGGAAATTCAACAAAACCAGCAGTATGTCACTTTGAATAAACAGACAAGAATCCTGTCAATACAGATGTAGTGGAGCACTCACTGAGACTTTGTACACCCCAACAAGGAAGAGAGCAGGCTCAAGCAGGTTCTCAACACTTGTACATAAGGGAAGAAGACTCTAATAAGGACTGTAGGCTCCCTCAGTAGCCAAGCCAAGCAGAGCAAAGAGTTCAGTACAGATGAAACACATCAGTTGGCTTACAAACAGCATCCTGTTAGGACATCTGAAGTATTGCAGCCATGTTAGACGTCATGGTGGTCTGAAGAGAATCAAGCTGGAGGGAAGTTGCCAGACAAACAAAATTGCAGAGGCAGTCTTGTGCATCGGTGGATTCAAGGCACAGAAATGCATTAGCTTTGACAACAAATAGTGCTGGAGAGTTTGCTAGAGAAAGAGTTGAGTCAAGAATTGACATCACAGCACTCGGGGCATTCCCACGCATGCTTCGTCCTCATCTTCAACGGCCAGCGCAGAGTTCCAAAACTGGTGGTACCGGTCACAATCTGGTTATATGTCTGTCTTGCCTTTCCTCTGAGTGTAGTGAGCCGGCCAGACTCTCTGCCTCAATCTCTCCAGGCCATAACAATATTCTATCTCTAATGATTCCATTGCTTGTTCCCAAAGGGCCTTGACCACATCTGCCTTGTCATGTATCAGTTCACCAGCCAGTAGTGCAGATCCAGCCAGTCTGCTGGAGAAAGAAAGACTGTCAGGTGTGCCGTTACCAGAGCAGCATTCCGTAATTAGCCTTTTGATAGATGAGGATGAAAGATAGACTAAACAAGACATAAAGTTGTAAGAGTAGAAGAGAGGACGCTAAGTCAGTGAATCATTTATGTGCAACCTTGTTTTACTTCAGGGCACTCAACAGGTTCTCTGCACTGGAGGAGGAGGATGACTTCTCCGAGTCGCTGATTGCTTCGGACATTGTTGCACAGACGGAGCATGACAGCAGCGCTGTGCTGCCAGATTTCTCCAAAGTCAAAGTGGTGGACATATTCTGGCGATTGGTAAGGGCTCATGAACCATGCAGATATTTGTTCATAAGATACATCATAATATTAGTATATAGTGTTTGCCCCTTTAATATGTGTTATAGCTAGATAGGGAAGTCCCCGTGGCAGAGCGGCTAGACGCTCGCTGCGGATCGGAAGGTAGTGAGTTGGCTCCCTGGAGGAGCCAGACTTTTTTCAAAAATAACCTTGGCTCCCAGGTCGACCCAGCCTTGAGTGGGTACCGGGTGCAGTCCCGGGAAGTAGAGGCGGCCGGCGTGATGCTGACCACATCACCCATCTTGTGCCGATTGATCTATAGAAATATAGGTCCAGCCCTATACGCCTAAAGGCGTGGAAAAGGGTCATTTACTTTTTTTTTTTAATAGCTAGAAAAATGATAGCTGCCTTCAACTCTGAAATCATTTTGTTCAAATCTGCATTTTGGCAGTTCTTGGTCAGAGAAGCCTGATGTCATACTTTCTCTACCTTCCATCAGACAGCCCCAAGTCTGGCATTCTTGGACAACCAATAGGAGGCAGTATTCCTACAGGATTGGACAGCTGAGACATTGTACGCCTACACCAGGACTAGACGGTTGAGATTTTTGACTGTCCACACCAGGACTAGACAGTTGAGATATTTGACTGTCCACACCAGGACTAGACAGTTGAGATATTTGACTGTCCACACCAGGACTAGACAGTTGAGATATTTGACTGTCCACACCCGGACTAGACAGTTGAGATATTTGACTGTCCACACCAGGACTAGACAGTTGAGATGTTTGACTGTCCACACCAGGACTAGACATTTGAGATGTTTGACTGTCCACACCAGGACTAGACAGTTGAGATGTTTGACTGTCCACACCAGGACTAGACAGTTGAGATGTTTGACTGTCCACACCAGGACTAGACAGTTGAGATATTTGACTGTCCACACCAGGACTAGACAGTTGAGATGTTTGACTGTCCACACCAGGACTAGACAGTTGAGATATTTGACTGTCCACACCAGGACTAGACAGTTGAGATGTTTGACTGTCCACACCAGGACTAGAAGGTTAAGATGTTTGACTGTCCACACCCGGACTAGACAGTTGAGATGTTTGACTGCCCACAGAGACGGTTGAGATGTTTGACTGCCCACAGAGACGGTTGAGATGTTTGACTGCCCACAGAGACGGTTGAGATGTTTGACTGTCCACACCAGGACTAGACAGATGTCAGTGTAATGTTGGACATCTCGTGACTATCAGTGTGGTTCAGACTGTTGGAGACAATTCTGAATATAATCACATTGGTTGGTTGAATATCTATTTGATTGTTTCAGTTGTAGTGACTAGAATATCTATTTGATTGTTTCAGTTGTAGTGACTAGAATATCTATTTGATTGTTTCAGTTGTAGTGACTAGAATATCTATTTGATTGTTTCAATTGTAGTGACTAGAATATCTATTTGATTGTTTCAATTGTAGTGACTAGAATATCTATTTGATTGTTTCAGTTGTAGTGACTAGAATATCTATTTGATTGTTTCAGTTGTAGTGACTAGAATATCTATTTGATTGTTTCAGTTGTAGTGACTAGAATATCTATTTGATTGTTTCAGTTGTAGTGACTAGAATATCTATTTGATTGTTTCAGTTGTAGTGACTAGAATATCTATTTGATTGTTTCAGTTGTAGTGACTAGAATATCTATTTGATTGTTTCAGTTGTAGTTACTAGAATATCTATTTGATTGTTCCAGTTGTAGTGACTAGAATATCTATTTGATTGTTTCAATTGTAGTGACTAGAATATCTATTTGATTGTTTCAATTGTAGTTACTAGAATATCTATTTGATTGTTTCAGTTGTAGTGACTAGAATATCTATTTGATTGTTTCAATTGTAGTGACTAGAATATCTATTTGATTGTTTCAGTTGTAGTGACTAAAATATCTATTTGATTGTTTCAGTTGTAGTGACTAGAATATCTATTTGATTGTTTCAATTGTAGTGACTAGAATATCTATTTGATTGTTTCAGTTGTAGACTGACTAGAATATCTATTTGATTGTTTCAGTTGTAGTTACTAGAATATCTTTTGATTTTCAATTGTAGTGACTAGAATATCTATTTGATTGTTTCAGTTGTAGTGACTAGAATATCTATTTGATTGTTTCAATTGTAGTGACTATTTGATTGTTTCAATATCTATTTTTGATTGTTTCAATTGTAGTGACTAGAATATCTATTTGTTTCAATTGTAGTGACTAGACTATTTGAATATCTATTTGATGTGTTCAGTTGTAGTGACTAGAATATCTATTTGATTGTTTCAATTGTAGTGACTAGAATATCTATTTGATTGTTTCAGTTGTAGTGACTAGAATATCTATTTGATTGTTTCAATTGTAGTGACTAGAATATCTATTTGATTGTTTCAATTGTAGTGACTAGAATATCTATTTGATTCTATTTGTTTTTCAATTGTAGTGTGACTAGAATATCTATTTGATTGTTTTCAGTTGTAGTGACTAGAATATCTATTTGATTGTTTCAATTGTAGTGACTAGAATATCTATTTGATTGTTTCAGTTGTAGTGACTAGAATATCTATTTGATTGTTTCAATTGTAGTGACTAGAATATCTATTTGATTGTTTCAATTGTAGTGACTAGAATATCTGTTTGATTGTTTCAGTTGTAGTGACTAGAATATCTATTTGATTGTTTCAATTGTAGTGACTAGAATATCTATTTGATTGTTTCAATTGTAGTGACTAGAATATCTATTTGATTGTTTCAATTGTAGTGACTAGAATATCTATTTGATTGTTTCAATTGTAGTGACTAGAATATCTATTTGATTGTTTCAGTTGTAGTGACTAGAATATCTATTTGATTGTTTCAATTGTAGTGACTAGAATATCTATTTGATTGTTTCAATTGTAGTGACTAGAATATCTATTTGATTGTTTCAGTTGTAGTGACTAGAATATCTATTTGATTGTTTCAGTTGTAGTGACTAGAATATCTATTTGATTGTTTCAGTTGTAGTGACTAGAATATCTATTTGATTGTTTCAGTTGTAGTGACTAGAATATCTATTTGATTGTTTCAATTGTAGTTGTTCCTTCTGCAGGGCCCAATCAATGTCTTCAATGCCAGCTGTGATTGGTCAGCTCCCAGATGTGTGGTCCTGGAAAGAAAACCCAATGAGGGATTTGGTTTTAGTGTCAAAGGAGATGCACCGGTTGTTATTGCTGCATTATAGAGCCTGATTCTGTGGCTGCGGTGAGACTTATTACATAATCTCTCAGATCATTACATGAATAATGTCAGAGGTCAAGCGATGGGGGAGGGGAGGACATGCGGTGAGCTACAAGACACAGCACAGGATAGACTGAGGGCCCGTGCTGCATGGAGCGGGTACAGAGCAGAAGAGTTGAGAAAAAGGTCACCTATAATGGGACAGAGTGGGCATCTGCCAGTAGTGTCTATGCAGTCTCTCAGATCATTACATGATCTATGGGTTCCTGTGCAAGCTATGGGGGAGGGTGCTCTATGGGTGAGCTCCTGTGCTCTACAGGTTAGACTGTGCTCTATGGGTTCCTGGGTACTCTATGGGTTCCTGTGCTCTAGGGTCACCTGTGCTCTATGGGTTCCTGTGCTCTATGGGTCCCTGTGCTCTATGGGTTCCTGTGCTCTATGGGTTCCTGTGCTCTATGGGTTCCTGTGCTCTATGGGTTCCTGTGCTCTATGGGGTTCCTGTGCTCTATGGGTTCCTGTGCTCTATGGGTCCATGTGCTCTATGGTTTCCTGTGCTCTATGGTTTCCTGTGCTCTGTGGTTTCCTGAGCTCTGTGGGTTCCTGCACTCTATGGGTTCCTGTGCTCTATGGGTTCCTAGGCTCTATGGGTTCCTGTTCTCTATGGGTTACTGTGCTCTATGGGTTTCTGGGTTCCTGTGCTCTATGGGTTCCTGTGCTCTGTGTGTTCCTGGGCTCTGGACTTTAGTCTTGATGTAGAAACTGCTGAAGGGGCTGCGTGACCTCTCGACAGGGTGTCCGCCTCAAATGCCAGAGGTTCCAGGTTCAATCCCCAGTAAGGGTTGGGATATTTTCATGTGAGCTTGGACTTCTAGTAATTCCCCCTGGTCTCTGGTTACTGAGATCGGACGCCCATGTGCATTGATGCACATGTTAAAAAAATTCCTTGGCAGTTGGAAATCGAAAAGAGTAGCCTAACGGCCCTGCCTGGGCAAAATTTAGACTTAAAAATCTGCCCAAAGTATTTCAGGATTCTCTCTGGTGCTACAGAGCCTGTGCTGAGCTTCTTCTGGCTCAGACTTGAGTAAAAAGTAGAATGGAGCCCTTATGGGTAACTAACCGTGTGCCTTGATGTTGATCAGTTGTTCAAACCTCAAGAAACTGAGTTTTGCATGCACAACCATGTTAATGATCTGGCAGATTGTAAGAGACTGGTTGCTTCCTCGCCTCTCAGGCAGCTGCCGTTGCATTCAAACAGCCCTGATTAGTCACTGTTACGATATGCTTTAGGGGAGTGAGGCGGCAGTGGATCTAATCTTATTCCCCGAAAATGGGGCCCTGGAAACCACAAGAGGCATGTCTTTTGTTTGGTCTAGGCAGGTATTATTTATACATGTTGCAGTCTGTTGTTGTTGTTGACTTCAGTGATAGCTGTTGGACTTTCTGTTTTGATAATCAAAGATATGACTCTGAGCTGTTGTCACAGTGCATCCATGTTTACACCTGAAGGCTTCCAACAGATTCTCTCCTCCCAAGTGGCCTTTTGTCTGCTACTCACATTGACTGATCTCTGTGTGTTGTTTGGCTGTTATTATTATTGTTGGATTGTTAACATCTCTTTGTACGATGCTGGACTGTTTTGTGATTGTGAGTTTGACATTTGCATCACAGAGATGTGCAATGAAGGTGAAAGACTATATTGTTGGTATTGGGTCTGTGGACACCAAGTGGGCCAAACACGAGGAAGTGGTCCGACTAGTCCGGCAGGCCAACCTGGCCCTGAAGTTGGTGCTCATTACTCCACTCACTAGAGCAGAAGTCACTTCAGGCAGCAGGCTGTTTTCTACAGTCAGTCTTCCCACATCTCCGGTCAAGGTAAGATTTGTGTGTGTGTCTCTTCTAGTCTGTCTGTTGCTCTTTCTCTCACTTTCTCCCTGTCTACATATCCAGCAATTCTCCTTTCCCCTAAATTGTCTTCCTCTCTCTACTCTACTATCTTCCCCTCCCATCTACATGCTGCTGTATATTTCTACCTTCCAGTAAAGTCTCACGATGACTTGTAGTTATCTAGATAGTTATCAGGGGGGGGGGGGGGGGGGGGGGGGGGGGGGGGGGGGGGGGTTGGTTTTTGCTTAATAAGAAGACACACATTTGGAAACTGTGACAGCAGACTGATATCAGTACTTGGACAGTACTTTATTTCTGATCCAGAAACCATGAGTTGTAAACCCTTTGGCTCGGTATTATAAAATGGCGTAACCCTTCGCCCTTGATTCCATGATAGATACCGTAAATCTGGAAAATATGTGGCTTTTCTGCCTACCCATGCGCCTACCACACACACACTGCGCAGCTGGTTTAACCAACTTAGCTAGTACGCCAGGCGACAGCTTGATTAAACAGCATTATAGAGACAGTAGCACACTACAGGCAAGAGGAGGACACACTGGTTTAGTCGTGTGGTTGTGGCACCTGCAAGGGGAGGACACACTGGTTTAGTCGTGTGGTTGCGGCACCTGCAAGGGGAAGCAGAAAATAGAAACAGTGTAACCAGCCATCAGAGGTTGTTCTACAAGTGATTTAGTTGTTGCTTCAAAGACCTGTGCTCCATTGGGAGTAGAAGGCAGAGAGAGAACTGACCACTCTGTCTAATACAAGGCCTCAGTGAATTGTCTGAGATAGATCACTACAAAACATGTTTAGCATAATTCTCAGCTCATCTGTGAAATTCTTGCAGTGAAAATGTCAAATATTTGTGTGCCTCCCTCTGCCAGTTGTAAAATTCCATTGAAAAGTTCCGGTTGTTCATTCACTTATGAGCTTTAGTTCTTTTTTTTAAGAACTTGTGTTTTGCATGCACATCCATGTGACAGATCTGGCTTATTTGTATGCAGACTGTTGGTTCCTTGCCTCTCAGGCAAATGCATTCCTACTTGAGAGGAAACCCCTAATTATTCTGACAAGAAGCTTGTTAGGGAGTCATTGAGTCTGTTCTTGTCTCTCTACAATGGAGCCCAGGAGCTGACACAGAAATGAAATAAGAAAATATGAAGAGTGCAGTTAACAAGGCCGAATGTTTGATGCTCTCAGTTTGTAACCATGTGGAAATAAAATTTATAAAGATTTAGTTTGGCATTTAATTGGCAAATGATAGTAGCTGCTAACAGCATCAAGTGAGAAATCAACTAAATGATCATTGTTGCTGTGAATGACCATTGTTGCTGTGAATGACCATTGTTGCTGTGAGAGACCATTGTTGCTGTGAGAGACCATTGTTGCTGTGAGAGACCATTGTTGCTGTGAGAGATCATTGTTGCTGTGAATGACCATTGTTGCTGTGAGAGACCATTGTTGCTGTGAATGACCATTGTTGCAGTGAGAGATCATTGTTGCTGTGAGAGATCATTGTTGCTGTGAGAGATCATTGTTGCTGTGAGAGATCATTGTTGCTGTGAGAGATCATTGTTGCTGTGAGAGATCATTGTTGCTGTGAGAGACCATTGTTGCTGTGAATGACCATTGTTGCTGTGAGAGACCATTGTTGTTGTGAGTGATCATTGTTGCTGTGAATGACCATTGTTGCTGTGAATGACCATTGTTGCTGTGAGAGACCATTGTTGCTGTGAGAGACCATTATTGCTGTGAGAGACCATTGTTGCTGCGAATGACCATTGTTGCTGTGAATGACCATTGTTGCTGTGAATGACCATTGTTGTTGTGAGAGACCATTGTTGCTATGAGAGACCATTGTTGCTGCGAATGACCATTGTTGCTGTGAATGACCATTGTTGCTGTGAGTGACCATTGTTGCTGTGAATGACCATTGTTGCTGTGAGAGACCATTGTTGCTGTAAATGACCATTGTTGCTGATTGTGTCACATCTGGCATTCCATAGGCAGAGTCCCAAAGCCAGACTGCAGCCACAGAGCGGGAGAGGAAGATCACCAACAGAATCAGTGCCCCCTGGTTGTTTGTGCGCAAGAGTTCTGGAAAAGAGAAGAATGGACCACCTTCAAGGCCAGTATCTATGTCCTCGCCACTGATTAACGGAAGCGTGAAACATTTTGGCAACGGCAACATGAAATCTGGACACTTTCTTCATGGAGCAGATGTTGAGTTGTAGCTGTGTGCCATCTGTTTCATGAAAACCTCCAAGAGATCCTGCAGCATTCAATTCGGAGCTGCATCAGGACACACAATACAGGATGATATTAATTGTTACGATATTGTAATAACGCATTGTTGAACAGTTGTAAAATGTAGCTGCATTTTTGAGGAAAATCTAAAAAGATTGTGCCATTGTGAAACTATACAGATGTCGTATTGATGCAAGCCATCACTGGTCCTTGCTTTGTCCTATGTCTGTTGGCCATTTATTCATAGCCAAGTGTAGTTCCACTGTGTCCTCCATCCTGCAGGGAGCTGGGTGGCATTGTCCTTGTGCTCACACAGGTGCCACTGTGTCCTCCATCCTGCAGGGAGCTGGGTGGCATTGTCCTTGTGCAGACTGCCTAGCTCACACAGGTGCCACTGTCTCCATGTTTACTGCAGTCCCAGAGAGAGTTGGTTGTGACACTGCACCAGGAGGAGTTGACCACAGTCACAGTGAGTTACATTGTCACTGGTTGAGTGCAGGCCTATCTGCCAGGTAGAGATCCAGATAGACAACCTGTATTATATAATACTGGCTACATTGGAGTTGGACTGCTGAATTTATGAGGCAAGTGCTAGGATTTTTGTTCTAAACATGTCAACATCTGTTATCAAATATGTACGCACACATGCTGTGTGTGTATATTTTTATGTTTGCATTGTAAATGTCTATGTTGTTGACATGCCATCACATTTATGACATGTAAGCACTTATAAATAAGAGTTGTTGTTGACCGAGCGGTTCAGAACACTGGACTGACACTCAGGAGACTCAAGTTTGAATGCTCAGTATGGTGTCGATAGCAAAGTTAAGAACTTAACTTGCACAATTTACGGTAACAGCACTAGCCAGGCAGTGTTAAATCCTCCGACCTTGCAAGCAGTGTATTTAGGCAGTTAAGACCAGATAACTGGTTTGTTTAACTGACATTTTTTGTTATAAGTTGAAACTGCAACATGGGACCACAGTAGAAATGGCATGTGCCTCCAGCAAACTCTTGACCAACTTCAGAGCAGCGCAGCAAGCAATTATTGATTCAGGCAAAGTGCTTAAGGAAAGAAAAATTAAAAACAGCAAACTAGTTTTCCTTTGTGATTGCATATCATTCCTCAAGATGAGACGACATGGAGACAGAACTGAACTGCCCGCTAAACAGACTCGCAGAAAACAATCAGGTCGTTCTTTAGTGGGGCATGGAACAAAGGAGAAACAACACCCATCCATTGTCATTAACAGAAATCAGAACACTTATCAAAGGAAAATGCAAGGAATTGTGGAGAGAGTATTCAACCACAAAAGCCCATTAGCAGACTCAACAGAAAGTAAGCAACATACAATTTTTCGGTTACAAACAGGACACTGCAGGCTCAACTACCACATGCATAAAATAAAGATTGTACAGTCCCCACTCTACCTACCTACAACTTCAAAAAGACACCTGGTCTCAAGAGCAGGCTGTGGGGAACTATGAAGCACCTGCTACTGACATGCGAGTTCACAGAGGCAACCCACCTGGTGGTCTGATTTGAGCATACAAAACCCTGACATGCGAGTTCACAGAGACAACCCACCTGATGGTCTGATTTGAGCATACAAAACCCTGACATGCGAGTTCACAGAGACAACCCACCTGATGGTCTGATTTGAGCATACAAAACCCTGACATGCAAGTTCACAGAGACAACCCACCTGATGGTCTGATTTGAGCATTCACAACCCTGACATGGGAGTTCACAGAGGCAACCCACCTGATGGTCTGATTTGAGCATACAAAACCCTGACATGGGAGTTCACAGAGACAACCCACCTGATGGTCTGATTTGAGCATACACAACCCTGACATGCGAGTTCACAGAGACATCCCACCTGATGGTCTGATTTGAGCATACACAACCCTGACATGCGAGTTCACAGAGGCAACCCACCTGGTGGTCTGATTTGAGCATACAAAACCCTGACATGCGAGTTCACAGAGGCAACCCACCTGATGGTCTGATTTGAGCATACAAAACCGAACGCAAAGAAGTAGGTAACTCAGCTATTAACACAACTGCTGCTGTGGTTTGTTCAGTTTATATAGGTATCAGACATTGTCTGTGGCAGCAAGCATGTCTCAGAGGCAATGTTTGTGTGTGAGAGATCACTTGTGTGTTCTTGCACCAGTGAGCTTTAACAGTTCTACCTCAGAGGTTTGTGTAGCAGCCACCTAGCAATGAATCTAATTTTACTGGATAAGCCAGATTTCTGCAGCATATTGTGACGAAACGTAAGGTGCAAGCACTCATTGATTAACTGAGGGTGAAGAGGGACAGAGAGGACAAGATGTAAAACATACGTTGTTGTTACTTATGCCACCAATGTGCATTTATTTCATACCATTTAATAATGTCTTTTATATATTTATACAAAACAGATTTATGCTTGCTCCATCACATGATTGTATAATCCACACATATCTAGATGATTTGTGTCAGCCATATATATATGTCAGTCACATACGCACACTAAAATATGTTAACAATCAGTTGTTATGATTTGGATGGACAAGCAGACGGTTTACTGGGTCTAGCAGATAGCTTGTACTTATTTTATCACCTTGGCAGAACATTGTACTTCCGGTCAAAATGGACGCTAGGCACGGCCACTTTTATTTTTTTTAAATATATCTGCCACGCGGTGGCCATCGCATTTTTGCTCCATTTGTAGACTGGAAGCATATAGTTTTGTCGCCCAGCTTCTGAGTTGAGTGCATGGTGTGACACTGTGAGCTACGTGTGTTTTCTGTTGGCACAGGAGCGGAGCAACTATGTGGGGTGACCTGTTTGCTATGACGCTGAAACTAGGATTACCAGATTGTACATCAATGTTTGAGTATATGGTGCCAGTTGTGGTCCAGTCCTGCTTTGTAGGAATGATTTACAGAGAACCAACTGATGAACCTGCTTTGTAGGAATGATTTACAGAGAACCAACTGATGAACCTGCTTTGTAGGAATGATTTACAGAGAACCAACTGATGAACCTGCTTTGTAGGAATGATTTACAGAGAACCAACTGATGAACCTGCTTTGTAGGAATGATTTACAGAGAACCAAACTGATGAACCTGCTTTGTAGGAATGATTTACAGAGAACCAACTGATGAACCTGCTTTGTAGGAATGATTTACAGAGAACCAACTGATGAACCTGCTTTGTAGGAATGATTTACAGAGAACCAACTGATGAACCTGCTTTTCCTAGCTCCATGTATATTAGTGGTGGAATGAGCTTGTTATCTAAAATTAAATCCTCAGGCCATGTTGTTCAAGTACCTTACCCCAGCCATGTTGTATCGGTCATGTATCCACATGTCATGTAGCCCCAATCATCTGTTCCTCCAATATTATCATGTGTGGGAGTCTACATGTAACAGAGAATGTGTAGCTTTGTGACAATGAACAGATGTTGAGACCAAGACATACACACTGACACTTTGTTGAACAGATGTTGAGACCAAGACATACACACTGACACTTTGTTGAACAGATGTTGAGACCAAGACATACACACTGACACTTTGTATGATAATGAATGTTTATTACATAGCATAGTCTCTCTCCCTGTTATTATTTTCTACTCTTATCATAGAATAAAGACACCCACACAGAAGAAATGTCGTCATCATCACCTTCTGTGGGTCTCTCCTCTTATATTCTTGTCATTATCACCTTCTGTGTCGGCTCTGTGGCTAAGTCGATGCGAACGCTTCGTAGTGCCCGTTTCGATCCCAGCTGCGGGCCATGCACCTTGCGTTGGTTTCGACAGTGGTGTCAGGGGGCCGACCGCCCAGAAAGCAATGGCAAACTACTGGACGTAATTTGGCTAGAGAAACCACACAACAGCCAGGGGCTGGTTCTGCAAACGTCCTGTAAAGGATACGCAACTAACCTCACCTTCTGTGTCTTTTTTTATATTTTGTTTTGTGTGTGTCTCTCGCCTCTTCTTATATTCTGCGACTGTCATTATGAACTTTCTGATTTAATTAGCATCCCTAATGCTACTGTGTCCTACTTTGAACAAGGAATGTTTACAATAATGCAGCTTAACCTTGTCTATGCATGTGACGATCAATGGCAAAATATTATAAAACACATTATCATTACATGGCTGCCTGTACTCATTGAGAGACTTGATACACAGGGCTGGCCATGTACCTGCTGCAAGAGGTTCACACTAGACACAGCTGAGAAGATACACAGGACTGGCTGGCCATGTACCTGTTGCAGGAGGTTCACTAGAGACTTGATACACAGGGCTGGCCATGTACCTGTTGCAGGAGGTTCACTAGAGACTTGATACACCAGGCTGGCCATGTACCTGCTGCAGGAGGATCATCTAACTGGGAACACTTGCTGCCACTCATCACATGACTTCAAATGTACAAATACATCAACATTACTCATATGCTGACACATTACAACAAGCAGTATTTCCATGGAAGTCCAAACAAAACAGGTCACACCGAATAGTAGATTTTCTCTGATCCCAGGAACATAGGGGTTGCAAATGGAGAGAACCACCTAATGGAGAATGGATGGCCAAACACTGCCTTCATACTCAACCAGCGGGATCGTCGCTCCCTCTCTTCTTTCTTCAGCTGCTCTATTCCCTGTGGTAGAGTCACATGGAATAGGTTAACTTAACATTCATGTCTACAGCTGCTCATTCAATGTGATGTGGGGGACTACAAGAGATGACAACTGCATGTGAGGTGTGTGTGGTACAGGGATGACAACAACTGCATGTGAGGTGTGTGTGGTACAGGGATGACATCAACTGCATGTGAGGTGTTTGTGGTACAGGGATGACATCAACTGCATGTCAGGTGTGTGGTACAGGGATGACATCAACTGCATGTCAGGTGTGTGGTACAGGGATGACATCAACTGCATGTCAGGTGTGTGGTACAGGGATGACATCAACTGCATGTGAGGTGTGTGTGGTACAGGGATGACATCAACTGCATGTTAGGTGTGTGTGGTACAGGGATGACATCAACTGCATGTGAGGTGCGTGGTACAGGGATGACATCAACTGCATGTCAGGTGTGTGGTACAGGGATGACGTCAGGTGCGTGGTACAGGGATGACATCAACTGCATGTCAGGTGCGTGGTACAGGGATGACATCAACTGCATGTGAGGTGGTACAGGGATGATATCAACTGCATGTCAGGTGTGTGGACAGAATGTTTTTTAGGAAGCATGGACACTAACAAAACAATTGTGTCTGTGAAGTGAGGTTGGCAACTTGGTGTGTGTGTGTGTGTGAGCGAGCCCTGACAACTTGATAGTATGAGATCACAACTGGGTGTGTGTGTGAGCTGTGACAACTTGATGTCTGAGATCACAACTGGGTGTGTTACATGAGCACAATAACTTGATGTCTGAGATCACAACTGGGTGTGTTACATGAGCAAATAACTTGATGTCTGAGATCACAACTGGGTGTGTGTGAGCTGTGACAACTTGATAGTATGAGAGCACAACTTGGTGTGTGCATGAGTTGTGACAACTTGATGTATGAGATCACAACTGGGTGTGTTACATGAGCACAAGAACTTGATGTCTCAGATGTGATGAGCGAGCAACTTACAGTTTCATCAGAGCAGACAGCTGACATCTGAGTGGCAAACATGATCCCAGTAAAGATGCCAAACAACATGCCCTCGAAGATGAGAAATATCAGGAAGATGGTGGTCGCTGGCGGGGACAATCCAGAGCAACCTAGAACATTAACACACGCACCACTTGTCAAATTACAGCGTCAAATTACAGCTTGCTAGTTTTTAAAAAACTCATTCTGACCCATCTGTACTGTCCTTAGTCTGTCCAATGACTGCTTCTTTCATATGTCTCCAATTATTCTGTCCTGTCCTCTCAACTCATTTTGTCCTATCTGTACTGTCCCCTTATCACTGCTTCTTTCATTTTCATATATTTCTACATCTACTTCTCTTCTATCTGTATTTAAGTCTTGTGTTGTCTTCACTGTGTCAGGCCCTACTTCCTGCTATATTACCCTGTCCTGTCTGCTCTCCATTCCTCCCGACTGTGTGGAATATCTTCATCTCTCACACTTCTACAATGTCCTGCCTTGTTCTGCAAACCTTTTTCTCTTCACTTGTTCTGCAAACCTTGTTTTTCTTTACATTGTTTAGTCTGTAATGATTATTATCAATACATTCAAACTGCACTATATAACAAGATGTGAGACAGACAAGCAGGCCCAAAAATACACATATATATCATAAGATGCGGCAGACAGGAAAAAACGTGCTAAATTGACAAGAGGCCCAGACAGACAGAACAAGATACTACTCAGACAAGACAACCAGACTCAGCAAGCAAATAATTATTGTGTTGGCAGCAACAACAACAGCAAATGACGCTCTACACTGCAACAGCAGACTCATGTGACATCAACCAGGAACAAGAAACTACACACGACTGCCAACACAGTAAAAAGCCAGTGGTCAGATGACAAGAAGCAAGACAACCAACAAGGCCAGAGGGAAAAACTCCCACATCAGAAGCACATACAGGTACAAGTGGACAGCGTCCTTCATCCTGTTTTTCAGTATCAACACTTGAGAAGCTCCTACAACATAGCAAGCAGCAATCACTGAACAACAAAACACAATTACAACACAACATAAACAGTATTATCGCATGCACAAACAGATAAGGAAGACAGGACAGTCGAGTTTATACAGCAGAGGGCGCACACACACACATAGCCAGACTGACTAGACATAAGCAGTTACAGTGAGATTAATACAAGCAGGCTGATGAAGGTTGCAGTAAAAGCTTGGATTTTATCAGCCTTGTCTGCTGGTACCAGGCTACAGAAGATGGCCGCTGCTCTTACCTTTCCAGTCTCTGCCAACACAGGAGACAAAGTGGGACACGGCCAGGTACAGGGCGTGGATGGAGATCAGGCAGATGTACAGCTGCAATAAACAACACAACCGACTCAACCACACAATCACAACATCATGGTCACCCACACAACAACAACATGGTCACTGGCTCAACAACACAATAACAACATCATGGTCACCGGCTCAACCACACAATAACAACAACATGGTCACCGGCTCAACCACACAATAACAACAACATGGTCACCGGCTCAACCACACAATAACAACATCATGGTCACCGGCTCAACCACACAATAACAACATCATGGTCACCGGCTCAACCACACAATTACAACATCATGACCACCGGCTCAACCACACAACAACAACATCATGACCACCGGCTCAACCACACAATAACAACATCATGACCACCAGCTCAACCACACAATAACAACATCATGACCACTGGCTCAACCACACAATAACAACATCATGACCACCGGCTCAACCACACAATAACAACATCATGACCACCGGCTCAACCACACAATAACAACATCATGACCACCGGCTCAACCACACAATAACAACATCATGACCACCGGCTCAACCACACAATAACAACAACATGGTCACCGGCTCAACCACACAATAACAACAACATGGTCACCGGCTCAACCACACAATAACAACATCATGGTCACCGGCTCAACCACACAATAACAACATCATGGTCACCGGCTCAACCACACAATTACAACATCATGACCACCGGCTCAACCACACAATAACATCATCATGACCACCAGCTCAACCACACAATCATCATGACACACGGCTCAACCACACACAATAACAACATCATGACCACCGGCTCAACCACACAATAACAACATCATGACCACCGGCTCAACCACACAATAACAACATCATGGTCACCGGCTCAACCACACAATAACAACATCATGACCACCGGCTCAACCACACAATAACAACATCATGACCACCGGCTCAACCACACAATAACAACAACCACACAATAACAACATCATGGTCACCAGTTCAACCACACAATAACAACATCATGGTCACCGGCTCAACCACTCAATAACAACATCATGTAATCACAGTCATATCATCCACATGTGACTGTCTGGTTGTCCCGGTAGACCAGTTTTCTTCGTCTCTGTTTGCCCTCACAAGCTGCTCTCCTTTACATCACTATCATCATGATGCTGTGCAGTCATACATCGCTCAGTGTGTGTGCAAATGTTTCAATGCTTTGGATGTTATCCAGGCCAGCACTGATGGCTTCTCTGATCAACAATGTTTCTATGTTTGTTTCTCCTCATCTTGTGCCCACTACATCACCTTATAACCAAGCATTTTTTTCTGTCTGCCAGTATGCAGTGGCACAATTACAGTTGTATCCCTTGGTTTTCATCTTTAATAGTTGTATATTTTGTTCAGCCTTGGCAGTATTGTTTTCCCAGTTACTATAACAGATGAGCTTGTTACATTGTGTCTGTCTCCATAATTGTTCACCTTTGCACTCTCCAGCCCTGTATCCCCCCCTGTTTAAACCATTGCATTCTCCTGCCCAATGTCCAACATGTTATTACTTTGCATTCTCCAGCCAGTCTCTAAAACGTTTATTGTTAAATCTACTTATTAGTAACATGAGGTACTTCCCAGCAGTGTCTGTGTGTGTGGGAGCATGTGTGTGTGTGGGCATGTGTATGTAGTGTGGGTGCATGTATCTGTGTGTGTGTGCATGTGTGTTTTGTTTTTAGCATGAACAGACTGACCTGCAGTTTGCCCTGGACAGACACAGATCACAGAGAGACTCACTGTAAACAGTACAAAATATTTTTGGTTGTTCTCGCCCACACAGTTGTTGACCCAGGGGCAGTGGTGGTCCATCTTACGGATGCAGCGCTGGCAGACGCTGTCAGAGGACCAGACACCAATGTTAGCTTTTGTCTGACTTCATCAAGCATAAAGACATGTATGTACTGGTGTAATCACTAACAGGTACTGGTGTAATCATGTGAAAACAAACAGCATCAAGATAACCATATCAAGTACAGCCCCCTTGTACACACCAGCCACATGCAGCTAGCTTCATATTTGTATACACCATTCAGCCCTCAATGGGTGCTGTTGTCAACATCATGCTGGCCACCTTTATTTCCCACAACTTTTCCCCTGACACTTTTGAAGCTACCAGCCCTCAACTCCCGATGCCCTAGATCCAAACAATCACTCTATGTAAGGCTGTACTGTCGCATGCTATCGTCACTGTTCCCCATCATGTAATATCAGTTCCACAAACATGCATGTGCTATCTGAATACTGCCTGTCTTTAACCTCTCTCTCTTCCTTGGTCTTAAACAAAGCCCCACAAATGTCCTGGTGCACTACAGGTCCTAGTGCACTACAGGTCCTAGTGCACTACAGGTCCTAGTGCACTACAGGTCCTAGTGCACTATAGGTCCTGGTATTCAACAGGTTGTGGTAGGTAAAACTCATCACTACTACCCAGTCATCTGACTTCATGACTGTTGCACAGTTAGGGCTGATGCTGATTATGCTTGCAGTGGTGTTGGTGTTGATGATGATGTGCTGGTGTTGATGATGTCATGGTGGTGTTGATGATAATATTGTGGTAGTGATGATGTTGCTGATTACCTGCAGTGGTGAGCCCTGTCTGGCTTGATGCTGATACACTTAGGACACTTAAACACCACCTCTCCCTTCTTCAAGCCCAAATGTTTGATGCCCTCTGTCGTGGCATTGCCCTTGGGGACAGCTCCCTGTGGGGGAAAATAAGCAAACAGACAGTGTCACCAGCCATCTGTCACCAGACATGTGTCACCAGACATGTGTCACCAGACGTCTGTCACCAGACGTCTGTCACCAGACGTCTGTCACCAGACGTCTGTCACCAGACGTCTGTCACCAGATGTCTGTCACTAGACGTCTGTCACCAGACATCTGTCACCAGACATCTGTCACTGACATCTGTCACTGACATCTATCACCAGACATCTGTCACCTGACAACTGTCACCGCCTCAAGCAGAACTGACCCAGGTGTCCATGTTAGACCAGTTCAGCCTGGCAACCACGGTCAAATGAGACTCGGACCTTGGGGCCAGCAGACTGCTAGGCCACCACACACTCCCTCATCAGGGAAGGCATGAAGTGACACTGTAACATGCCAAGCAAGGACAATATGGAGGGTTGGTCTGAGACTGGCTACCTCAGCTTACAGAAATCTTGAAGACAAAATGCAACTGCACAAACGACTTTACAAGAACCTTAGTGAGAGTTGCCTGAGGGCCTATCTGAAGACAACATGCAACTGCCACTGGGAGATCACAGGCACCAGAATCATAACAGCGTGTACATTGTGGCTAGTGCTGGGTTCTATACTGTCATCATAACATATATATCAAAGTCATCACTGGGGGAACCTTTTCAGTCATTTAATTCATCTGCTTGTTCTAATGTACACCAGGAAGCGCTGGCATGTCAACAGACAAATCAGTAACAGCTGTGAGATCAAGCCTGTCATGGAAACAGACAAATCAGGAACAGCTGTGACATCAATCCTGTAATGTCGAAAGACAAATCAGGAACAGCTGTGACATCAATCCTGTAATGTCAAAAGACAAATCAGGAACAGCTGTGAGATCAATCCTGTAATGGGAACAGACAAATCAGGAACAGTTAGGAGATCAATCCTGTAATGTGAACAGACAAATCAGGAGCAGCTGGGAGATTAATCCTGTAATGTGAACAGACAAAGTACAAACAGATATGAGACACTGAACCCTGGACTGCCACAGTAAGTAGTTACTAACACTGTGACAACAGGTATGTGAGGCAGACAGATTCATATCGTATCGCTAGCAAGCATCATCGAATATTTCGGTAAATGTTATATGATAGCTGACCCATCAAAACAGTCAGCACTTTCAAATTCTTCCCAACCAGACGACTCAGCATGGATGATTTCTGGATGGGCAGATAGTCCAAACTACTGAACTGACCATTAGGGAGAGGGAAGTAAACACAAAGGCTAGCCTCAAGATAACTGAACTGTTCAATACTATTACAGAGAATACTCCACCAGATATGTTGGCAGGACAGCCCACAACCTCCAATAATCCTCTAGCAACATGCAAGTCTGATTGCTGTACCGATGTTTCAGACTCACAGAAATTGACAGCTAATAGGAATTCACATGTACAGAACATCCAAAGTAATCAAGACAACGCAAACTGGTGCAATCAAACACACTATCATCAACATTAACCACATAAATGAAGGAGGAATTAGATTTCTGGATTTGTCAAGATCCAAAATTGGCAACTATCTAGATCTAAAATCTTCACTAGGGACAATGAGCACAGCAAGAATCACAAAGACACAGGAGGGAGTTATTGCTACATTCAATGAAACAGACCAAAATGATTGAACACATCACTACACAATCTACAATAAATCTACACATTCCTAAGAAGTTAACGAAGCGGTGGAGATGTTTCTAGATTAGAAGGTGGGTGCTCAAGCCGGTAAAAACCAAATGGTCTAATCAGGCAACTGCACAAGAGCGAACACCCTCACATGAAAATAGTTAGAGCAGACAGAATTGTGTCAAAGACAGGAACTCAACAGTGGCCGTGGTGACGATCGTAGGTGAGAATATTCCAGAAACTGTCAAGCTTGACAGGAAAACACGGAAACCAGAGCTATACATCTAAACAATACAACAATGCTTCAGATGCCAATATAGATTTCGCACCAAATCAGTTTGCTGCAGCAAATAAGCCATTTCTCAATATTGGGCCACTCTCATCCTTACAGAGAATGCCAGTTAGCAAAAGAAGACAATGATTATCAAAAACCAGATGCCAACAGTGGATGCAGCAACTGTTTTGTATAACAGGTATTCTGAATCTGCATTACTACTCAAAATAGCAATAACGGAGCCATTCTTCTGCAAAGAGGCCAGAAGAAGATAGAGGGGGCGAACAACTTTACACCCGTGTGTAATGAGGTGAATTCCCTGACAAATCCCAGAGAGTTCCCGATTGGGGGGAAAAGGTCAGAGGACCAATGAAACAAGAGGAAAGTGAGATTAGCAGGTCTCGAGTATCACGTTTTGGGCATATATAGATAAGAGGAAAGCGTGAGACTAGAACAGAAGGTGTGAACCCAGAGAGAATAGGAAGTCAGTTGAAGTTTGGACATATAAGTCTGCTGTCGAATGCAGCTGAGAAGAATGCGGACTGTCTGACCACATGTAATTGTTAAAGATGAGAGATGAATGTCTATTGATTGCAGGTTTCGACCGTGTACGAGTACCAGGAACAAGAGGTTAGCCTGATCCAGATGTATAGTCCAAAAGGTAACTGCAGAGAGAATCACTGTGTGAGACAGTTGGAACTTTGTTATAAATGAGCCATGTGAAGCAATCATGACAAAAGAGTTGAGCAACTGGACAGCGCAGCTGTTGGAACAACGAATAAAGATCAATAACTGCCGAGGACGTGTTTGTCATCTGGTGTGTTCATATTTACTTAATATAACTAAGAACGTTAGTACAGCATTGTCATGAGCTCAAATAAACCCTAGACAAACACTGCAAGTGGACAAATTCTACATGCACAAACAGATTAGAAGGTTCAACAAAGAACTCACAGCACTGAAAGCAAGAAAGACACCTCAAGAAGTGAGCAAGGAAGTGAGAAGCCATGAAGACAGTGGATGATGATAGAAAGACACTCAAGGAACTCACAGCAGAAACAATACCACTATTGAAAGTCGTGCAGAAACAGCAAGACGAAAGAGACCACTAAAGTAATCCAACCACAGACAGACGAAGAAAATAGCAAAAACAAAGAAGAAAAGCCAATACAGATAACACCTACAGAGTCTACCAGGAAAGCACACAAATTCTAACAAACATTCAATGCAGAAATGAACAGGGCATTTCCACCAGAAAGCATCCAGACAAAGGAAGACTGAAGAGCACCAGTTCAATACAGAAACAAGACAGAGACACCCGATGAGAAGAGAATTAAAGAAAATATCACTGGAGACGGAACTAAAATCTGAAGCGGCAAGCAATCAAGAAGACACCAGACAGAGAACAGAAACAGAAGTAAGAGGGTGGAAAGAAAGTCAAGATCACACAAAAGTCCTTGTAAGGACTTATTATATCACCATTACCAATCAAAAACCTACATGTTAAAAAGCACAAAAGTAGTAGCATGTCAAACAGAAACAATCAACCAATAAGAATATACAATCAATATAAAACAACAACCTCACATTGGCGGTGGCAGGGTGGACTTAGAAGAAGACAGAAACAGTTGCAAACATCAACACTGTATACCAGATGTATCCTCATATAGATACAGTCGGGAACAAACCTGGACTACACAACAGGGAAGTATACCAGATGTATGTAACCTCACATTGGCGGTGGCAGGGTGGACTTAGAAGAAGACAGAAACAGTTGCAAACATCAACACTGTATACCAGATGTATCCTCATTTAGATACAGTCGGGAACAAACCTGGACTACACAACAGGGAAGTATACCAGATGTATCCTCATTTAGATACAGTCGGGAACAAACCTGGACTACACAACAGGGAAGTAAAGCAGATGCCTACCTCCTCAGAAACCAATACAGACATGTCATCAAAATGTGGCTGAAGGAAAATCACTATCAATAAAACATCCGAATGAAATCCCAATAGGTACTGCACAATCAAGATTGCTGTCTAAGCAACTGCTCTGAGGAGATAAAATGCTTCAGTGTGACTGAATTATTATTTTTGTTCTCCAGACGACCAGACCACATCTGTGGAGAGACATGAGCACCTTCACCATAGGGTCAGGTACAAGATGATGATCAATCAATTATCAACATGCCGAAAACAACAAAAGACACAGGGAGTGATATCAACAGGTCAATTACCGGATCTGTCAGCATGGCCCGCAGATGGGAGGCAATGGCCAGGAAGGCAAACAGGTTGAAGAGAAGGCCGTGCAGGAAACTAGAGATGTTCGACGACTCGTGGATCAGCATGACAAACATCACCACATACTCTGCATATAGCACCAGCAGCCATGTAAACACGGCACATACGATACCACAGATGTCCTTGACAAACCACACATGTCGCAGTGATGGGTTCACATAGCCAAACGGGCGAAACAGACAATTCAGGTCCAAGAAAACAACACTGTCTGTCTGTATCTTGTCTGCCTTCCTCTTCTTGTATGGAGACTTGCTTTTATAGCTGGGTCGTGTTGTGACAATCTCCTCCAGTTCCCTGTCAATGAAAGATGTGTGCAGACATCAACACTGTATTCATTATGTCAGATATACATACATTGATCCAAACATCAACACTGTATTCATCATCTCAAATATACATACATTGATCCAAACATCAACACTGTATTCATCATCTCAAATATACATACACTGACCCAAACATCAACACTGTATTCATCATCTCAAATATACATACACTGATCCAAACATCAACACTGTATTCATTATGTCAAATATACATACACTGATCCAAACATCAACACTGTATTCATTATGTCAGATATACATACATTGATCCAAACATCAACACTGTATTCATCATCTCAAATATACATACACTGATCCAAACATCAACACTGTATTCATCATCTCAAATATACATATTCATTATCCAAATATACATACACTGATCCAAATATACATACACTGATCCAAACATCAACACTGTATTCATCATGTCAGATATACATACATTGATCCAAACATCAACACTGTATTCATCATCTCAAATATACATACACTGATCCAAACATCAACACTGTATTCATTATGTCAAATATACATACACTGATCCAAACATCAACACTGTATTCATTATGTCAAATATACGTACACTGATCCAAACATCAACACTGTATTCATTATGTCAAATATACATACATTGATCCAAACATCAACACTGTATTCATTATGTCAGATATACATACACTGATCCAAACATCAACACTGTATTCATTATGTCAGATATACATACACTGATCCAAACATCAACACTGTATTCATTATGTCAGATATACATACACTAATCCAAACATCAACACTGTATTCATTATGTCACATATACATACACTGATCCAAACATCAACACTGTATTCATCATGTCAAATATACATACACTAATCCAAACATCAACACTGTATTCATTATGTCAAATATACATACATTGATCCAAACATCAACACTGTATTCATTATGTCAAATATACATACACTGATCCAAACATCAACACTGTATTCATTATGTCAAATATACATACACTAATCCAAACATCAACACTGTATTCATTATGTCAGATATACGTACACTGATCCAAACATCAACACTGTATTCATTATGTCAAATATACATACACTAATCCAAACATCAACACTGTATTCATCATGTCAAATATACATACACTGATCCAAACATCAACACTGTATTCATCATGTCAAATATACATACACTGATCCAAACATCAACACTGTATTCATTATGTCAAATATACATACATTGATCCAAACATCAACACTGTATTCATTATGTCAGATATACATACACTGATCCAAACATCAACACTGTATTCATTATGTCAGATATACATACACTGATCCAAACATCAACACTGTATTCATCAACTCAAATATACATACACGAATCCAAACATCAACACTGTATTCATTATGTCAAATATACATACACTGATCCAAACATCAACACTGTATTCATTATGTCAGATATACATACACTGATCCAAACATCAACACTGTATTCATTATGTCAGATATACATACACTGATCCAAACATCAACACTGTATTCATCAACTCAAATATACATACACTAATCCAAACATCAACACTGTATTCATTATGTCAAATATACATACATTGATCCAAACATCAACACTGTATTCATTATGTCAAATATACATACACTGATCCAAACATCAACACTGTATTCATCATCTCAAATATACATACATTGATCCAAACATCAACACTGTATTCATTATGTCAAATATACATACACTAATCCAAACATCAACACTGTATTCATTATGTCAAATATACATACACTGACCCAAACATCAACACTGTATTCACCATGTCAAATATACGTACAGTGATCCAAACATCAACACTGTATTCATTATGTCAAATATACATACACTAATCCAAACATCAACACTGTATTCATTATGTCAAATATACATACACTGATCCAAACATCAACACTGTATTCATCATGTCAAATATACATACACTGACCCAAACATCAACACTGTATTCACCATGTCAAATATACGTACAGTGATCCAAACATCAACACTGTATTTATTATGTCAAATATACATACACTGATCCAAACATCAACACTGTATTCATCATCTCAAATATACATACACTGATCCAAACATCAACACTGTATTCATCATCTCAAATATACATACACTAATCCAAACATCAACACTGTATTCATTATGTCAAATATACATACACTGATCCAAACATCAACACTGTATTCATCATGTCAAATATACATACACTGATCCAAACATCAACACTGTATTCATTATGTCAGATATACATACACTGATCCAAACATCAACACTGTATTCATTATGTCAAATATACATACACTGACCCAAACATCAACACTGTATTCACCATGTCAAATATACGTACAGTGATCCAAACATCAACACTGTATTCATTATGTCAAATATACATACACTGATCCAAACATCAACACTGTATTCATCATCTCAAATATACATACATTGATCCAAACATCAACACTGTATTCATCAACTCAAATATACATACACTGATCCAAACATCAACACTGTATTCATTATGTCAAATATACATACACTGATCCAAACATCAACACTGTATTCATTATGTCAAATATACGTACAGTGATCCAAACATCAACACTGTATTCACCATGTCAAATATACATACACTGATCCAAACATCAACACTGTATTCATTATGTCAAATATACATACACTGATCCAAACATCAACACTGTATTCATTATCTCAAATATACATACACTGACCCAAACATCAACACTGTATTCATCATGTCAAATATACATACACTGATCCAAACATCAACACTGTATTCATCATGTCAAATATACATACACTGATCCAAACATCAACACTGTATTCATCATCTCAAATATACATACACTGATCCAAACATCAACACTGTATTCACCATGTCAAATATACATACACTGATCCAAACATCAACACTGTATTCATCATGTCAAATATACATACACTGATCCAAACATCAACACTGTATTCATTATGTTAAATATACATACATTGATCCAAACATCAACACTGTATTCATCATCTCAAATATACATACACTGACCCAAACAACATATACAGAATGTATTATGTCAAATACATGAATGTGAAAACATCTGGAACATATGAATGATAACTATTCAACTAACTCAATGCACACATACACACACAGATAGATATATATATATAAAACATTCACAATGTGTTCAATATATGTTACAGATAACAACTACAATATGTGGAACCTGTCTAAGACATCTATGTGTTCATTAAGTGTCATAATGTCAGTGCTAACATGCCTGCCTTC